AAAAAAATCCAAAAATATCATAAACCAAAAGAAGAGCCACATATTCAAAAGTTGAAATTATACCGTCTTAACATAATTCAAATTACTCCATCCAAAAAAAAAAAAAATCAAATTACATTTTTTTAATCATCTTTTAAACCAATTAATTGATATACCCAACATCTTACCCAATATTAAAATTCAAACTACAATAATACATGCTAATATTTCCTTTCCTTTACCCCAAATTATAACCATTTAAAGAAACAAAAGTTAGGTTTCTTGGGCAACGTGCGCGTGCTGTCGCTATGACTGACTCTGAGTCTACAGTCCAGTACAATTGACGGCAGCTGTCGGCGGCCGTGTGACCTTTTTTATATACATGTTGATTGTTGATTAACGTGGACGCCAAGATTAATGTTAGTCCGTTTTGGTAAGGCAGTATGTCACGTCTCTCCGTCTGTCCAACTTTCCAGTCACCTTTGAAATCCAAACATTTCCCATCACAGCCAAAAGACATGGTGACACACACATGTACCAAAAGGCAAAATAACGCAGCCTTTCGGTCTATCTGTGGGCGCCACGACTCCCACCTAATCCAAGGGTCTGACTGTTCGGCCAGCAAAAGTTCAACCTTCAAATCCTTACCCAAACATGAATGATGAAACGGCCAAAATACTAAACACAATTCATTTCGTAGCAAATTTCGCAACATGTAGTCATTTTCCAGGACAATATTAAGAAATTGTCTTGCATACATTGGAAAAAGAAAGGTAGAAAAAAATTAACTTTTCAGGTGACGAACTACCAAGAAATTTAACAGCACAAATTGTCTTGCACTGTACAAAACCTAGAGCTTCATTCACATTTCCAGATCTACTCAAAATTTGAGTCAATAACAATGTACAACCATAACTATCAAAGCAAAACTAAGATACAGATTTATGTATGCCCATTTTTTTAAAGCAGTTTTTGCTTATTAAACGCAACATCTACCCTGGAGCATGCAGCATGTGAGACAAAAACGTTGGTCCTAAAATGGTTTTTGCAATAAAGCTACGAAGGCTGCTGCAGAAATACCCCCATCTTACAAATTTGATCATGGTAGAGAACTATAGCCTAACGTGACACCATCATCACTGTAGATTCTAGACTACATCACTATATTTGTACAAAAAGAATCAAAATTAAAATTCGTAAGCATCACCTCACCTCAAATTTTCTGGGACCGCAATTTCAAGGTACTACCAAATGTGTTAGTTCGACCAAAACTTTCTGCACAAGTGCTACAATGCCAATAATATCTCTACTGCTGCAAAAATGGAGTGATGTTGTGATTAGCTTTAAAAAGTGTATTAAATGTTGAAGTTTTGTAAGCAAATGAAACAAATGTGAACTAACTTTTTCCAATGGCTCTCATTTTGGGGTGGCTGATGGACGATGTTCCTGAAACTTCCAAGATGATCTTGCAGTATCTGATGTTGGTGTCCCAAGGTCCAAGATGCCCTTAAGCCATTTAACCCGGCTGATCAGTTCCTCTAGATCTATAATCGCAGCTTCCATTGTAGCAGAGCGTGTAGAATTCAAGCAAATTTTTTCATCCGTTTTAATCCTCTTTGAGTGTCCGCTCTCATCATATTTTTTCTTGCCAGAATCTGGCAACTTGTTGGAAATTTCCTCTGATGTGCTTATCTTCTTTCTACTTGCTGCTGGCTTCGTAGATTGTTCTGACATTTCCAGAAATGGCTCAGCACCAGCTGAAAATCGAGAAGCATTAGAAATGCCATGTTGAAGTAATGATCCAGCCTCCACCAGAACACCCTCTTTTCCTTCACTAAGAGTACTGACTGTCAAGTTTGTGGAAAAACAGACCCATAATTATCCCCACGTCAAGTTCATCTCATTAATAAATTTAATGAATAGAAGTAAGAAGAGACATAGATGTAGAACATTATAAGCATAAAACAAAAGAGGAAAAAATTAAAAACATTAACACATGCATCTTCAACTTCTTGATGATCCAAAATTAAGAAATTGCAAGATGCAATAACACCGCATCAAAACAAGGGATGGATAACATCACTTCTAAGTTCCAAGTTCCAACAAACACACAGGTTGCGACATCAGATGGCCACACTTTTCCCCTTGATAACTTCATTTTCATGATTCTCAAATGCATCTTAAGATAGAGGAGTCAAACAAAGATTTTTATTATACTCGTGTAACTTCAATTAGTTGGTTAACTTATTACAAACATTAAATGTGTCAAAAAAATCGTCAGATAGAAACTACTGAAGAGGCATCTAAACAACTCAAATATCTGGTCATCAAAACCTCATCATTCAATTTCCAAGTTTATACCAGGTGTATAAAAGATACGCTATTATTCAGCATTATTGAGCTTTATAAGAGGCAGATCAATACAGTTTCTAAAGCCTTCAAATCCACATCAATTTGCAAATTAGTTCTGTCCATGCTCCAATAGATCCAAATACTTTGACACTAGAAGGTAAGTTGATCTTGTTAAAATGTTATCTCAGCATCCAACAAATATTAATAGAACTTCCACACATGAAACATTAACTTGTACCGATGCTAATAAAATCAAGCCATTAGGAGATGGGTAGGGGACACAGCCATTAAAGAATCCAATATTCTTCCTTCTTTGTTGTGTAATTCAGATATTAGCAGTTTTAGGGTCATAAAGTATGAAATTATATGTGACTTTCATTTTAAAAAATAGTTTTTGCAATTCCTATGCTCTAAAAGTTATTTATATAATTTGATTATGTTTAGGTTATTCTAGGAATCTTTAAAACTTTAGGGTTTATTTCTTTGATCTCAAGATGTTTTTGCACCTTCCTATTATAGTTGTTTCCATATAGAGAACTAATCCTATGGACAGTCTATAATTTGATTCAATTTGCCCTCTTTACTGAACAAATCTAAACACTAATTCACCTATTAATCCGCTCAACAAATCCAAACCCTAATTCATCTATTAATTCCTGGCCACATTTCTCAACAACCATCAAGCATGTTCACATGCAACAAAAAGATTCACCCATTCCCAGGAAACCTACCCACTAAAACCCAACTCTGATTAGGAAATATAACTTCTTAGTATTTGAGTCCATGGAACATGTTATAGCAAACCCTGGGTAGCTCTCACCTTGACTTTGTGGCTTCATTAAATGAACACAAGAATGATAGCTTTTACTCCCCTGAAAAAACAAAAGAATCAGGAGAGAATGAGTTATTGGTTAGAGGATAATAGAAAACATGTAAGGCAGAAAAGTTATATCTTGCAGGATAGGCAAGCATCTACAGTATTTTCTTGCATTTCATTGAAGAAAAAAGCAAAATTTCAGCCTAAACATATTTGATAACCACACAGGAAATTATTTTGTAGAAGGCATAATTTTTCCTGCTCACTGTTAGTTGTTTCTCTTCCAATTTGTTATTATGCCCTTCTCCACTTCAACAAATATAAGGCATTCAATACAATAAATAAAAAAATAAATTAAGCAAGCAAAAAGAAGAAAATCATTTTCAGAGAACCCCTCTCATGGATCACATGAGTGGCGCAATTTCCATTGGAATCATTAATTGCATAAACTCTTTAACTCTAATTTCATGTTTGGTTCTCTCAGTCCAAAGCCTTCATGTTTATTTTCTACTCCAATATATCGAGTGACATAAAAGTGAATACATTAAAAACTATGCGTAGGTGGATTAGCAAATGTTATTTTCATCTAAAACTAGTTGTAAAAATGAAATTGGCAATGCTATTTTCATTATGTGTAAATCTATAAGATCTTGTCTTCTTGTTCAGGCTTCAGACCTTCATGGAGCAACTATTTGCCTCTTCTATCTTCTTCTTTTCTTCATTGATTTTTCTTAATAAAAATTAGTGTTTAACATGTAAAGTGTTAAATAAGTTATTCCTAATACATTTAGATGTTAGATTTCACATTGTATTAATTTTTATTTATACATACTTAACAAAATATATTTCTTTTCATTTTATGTGTCCTTAACTTGCTGTATCCTAAATTTTTAGAAACTAGCATGTCCACGTGCCTGCATAGCATGTTGGTATCAATGCTTCTTAGGGACAAAACAGTCTAGCCAGGCCTTCTAGAAGTGGAGAGGCAGATGGACATCATGACCAAGGGGTAGGTTGCATGTAAATTGTGTTTGTAGTTGAAACAAGGTTCCATAATGCAAAGGTTCCATAATGCAAAATATCTACACCATGAAACAGAAATGGCCGATTAACTGTGAAAATATAAAGTGTAGAGAGTACCTTGGAGGGCAATGTCCATCCATCAACTGGAGACCAATCCAAAGACGGGCGCAGATCTTTGCAGTAAACTTCATATGATAACCCTTCACCAGCAGGAGGTGGTAGCAACTCAATCTGTGGAAAGAAAGAAAGAAAAACACCATCATATGTAGCTGTAATCAATCAAGATGTTAAAACTGAAAAGTGAGGTAACAAATCAAGCAATCTGATACAGCCACCTCATGGATCCTTTTGCGCACCAATATTGTCAAATAGCAATTGTCAAACAAAACAAACTACAATCATAAGCTAGTGGTGTTCCTCTTCAGCAAGGTATGTACCTTGTATCTACCCCACCCGTTCACTAATCCCACAGCCCCTAAAGCCCTTTGCTGCTAGTGAATTAGCAAATGCTATATTCATCTAACCAGACAGAAAGTATTATAGGAGAAGAACTTATAAAAATTTTGAAATAGAATATTCAACTAGAGAGGCAGGTTATAGAAAAGATAAATGTCCTTTCTTTCATAAGTAAAAGAATAGTGCATGGTAAAAGCTTTGATGTATCTCTAAAAGCCAAAAAATTCTCTAGGATTTTTGGATTGAAAATTTAATATTCTAAGAACCTATGGCATCAAGCCTGCTGAAACTTGAAAATACTGCAAGGACTAACAAAACTTGTGCAAAAGTAAATCACAAAATATTGTGGAGAATGAAGATTGTGACATAAGTCACACGACCAACTGCTTTTACACTTCCTTGATAACTATACCCAGAAATGGCACCGATGAATAATTAATTAATGCAGCTAGAAAGAAAATATTAATCAGAAACCATATCCTAAATCAAACAGACAGAGACACTGTATGAGAGAAGGAATACACCAGACATATCACAATATCAACATCCATAGTGATGGTGTGATTATATATTGAGGAAGAACCTTAAGTACATTTGAAGCAACAGGTTATCTAGCACAAATTGTCAATCAAAGTTCATTCTCAAATTGAAAGAATATCTTCTACTAGATTGGCAGGACCATACATGGGTGGCAAACTCATTTTATGAAAATTTCCAGATCAAAGGAAAATCATGTAACCTTGAGATCAAATGCAACAAAGCAGCAGCAATGAACAGTCAAAATTATTCATAACATGAATGAATAAGCACAAAAATATTACTCGAGCCATCTCTTTCCCCAGCATTTCCTTTATCCTTCCACACCAAAAACAGCCATCTGTAAACCAATCTACTGAATCTCCCACCTTCCAGACATCATTAACAACTACAATCAGCTCCGAAATGGTTTTGATGTCGGGAAGCTGACTTGCATGATAGACCTTGGGAAAAGGTGGTCTCACCATCAATTGTCTTTTAGATTCCCTTTTGCTATACTTTTGATATATCTTTGTAGATTTCACTTCTGCAAAAGCATGGACATTAGTGAAAACTCTGAGAAGTCAAATAAATAGTAAGAAAACTAGGTTAAGTTGTATAGTCTCACATTGATTAAATTGGGTCTCTACCTATTACCAATGGTTCTATGATAGATGCTTTAACATGGAATCAAAGCTCAGGTGCATCTAAGCTTATAAACAATTTGCTCTCACAAATTTTGTTGGAGGAAAATTTTGAATTTGATTTTAAAAGTGACTTATAGGCAAGTTCTAAGAAAGCTAGTGGTAAATTCAAATTTGTGAGAAAGCAAACTTGCTTATAAGATCTGCCAAACATGCCCAATATCCATCTTGTTCTATAGAGTAGGCAAGTGGAGGGAATTTTAAGTGGTAAAATATCATTGATTAAGTTGAGGTTTCTTCATTCTCATAAATAAGTTAAGCATCTACACTAGGTTGAATGCTTTGATTGGGGAGAACCCACATTAATCAACCAAACTAATCCCACCACTTTAGGCACTTGCATACCTCAAAAGGAATTCTATTAAGACAAACCACTTATTTAACATGGTATTAAGGCAAACCACTCATTACCAATTGGTATTGTGATGTATATTTTATCTTGGTATCAAAGCCTCAATTCATTTATCACCCTATAGGTTGCTTAGCCCTTTCACTAAAACTCATGCATATCAATCTATCTCATTAGTTGTATTGGGCATATATATAGGTAAGGGGTAATGTTAAATGCTAAAATCTCGTAGATAAGGTGGGTTTCTTTTTCTTGTAACACCAATTGATTTTAGGTTAGATTAGGTTCGGTGCTGTGACAATACGTTAAATCAACTAGATTAAACCCATACTCCAAGCATGTGCACAAATGACTCATCGCCAATTGGTTGATTTGACAATATATTAAATCAACTAGACCAAACCTATCCTCTCCCAACACATGCAAAGCATACTTTCCCACATCATCCATTGCTTCTATTCCTTAGAGGCTTCTTAACTTTAATCACAATTCCATACATTTCCCCTTAATTGGCTAATGTGGGATTTTCCAACTTGACACACTCTTCACGTAGACTTAGATAAACTACAAGTTTTGTTACATGGGGTAACTGAAAATAAACTTGACAAAATTGGACTTGCGCTCAATATCATGTGAGCATCCAATCTAAAACTAAACCACTCAACACCCCAATTTATTTCGGGTAACTAAAAATAGGCTTCACAAAATTGGACTTGCGCTCAATATCATGTGAGCATCCAATCTAAAACAAAACCACTCAACACACCAATTTATTTGTTCCTTGTTTGCTATTTCGCCCATTTCATTTAAATCCTTGTTCCTATCTTTCTCAATTGTTCCTTGTAAGGTTTGGGTCTCATCAAACTAATTAAGTGATAAATAAGTAATCTCTTTACACATTGCTAGTAGCTTTTGGGTTAGATAGGACAGGTGACAACCCACATTTATCAACCATACTAAACCTAACCTTATCCAAGCAGTTGCACCCTTTGATATATGTTCTATAAGGCAAACCACTTCCTAATATCAACTTTGTGATGCCTTTCAGTTATAAAGGTTGTAATTACATGTACATTGGACTTTTCAACGTCAGAAAGTCAGAAAGCAAGCAATAATTTTCCCATGACTCCCATGAGAGGTGATTCTTGATGGCTCCTCCAATTTACAATTTTTCTTTAGCAAGACTCCCCATTACTAACCTTGTGCAAATCTCTGATTTTTCTATTCTTTACTCTTAGTATCTTGTATACTTCTTTTCTCATGCTTAGTTTTCAATAGGTTATACAATCCATCATCACCATGGGACAGCTTTGCTATTTTCCTTTTAAGCTATCTCATACACTCATACCTTCCAAAGACATTATCATTGTTGCGGATTAATACACTTCTGCAGCCCTTTACTTAAGACTTCCTTGTAATTAAGACCTTATAATTGCACCGCCAAGTTTCTTCTTGAAGAGTTCTATCGTTAGTACTCCTAAAACATCTAGATCCACCTTGATGCCTGAAAGCAACTTGTTTTTCAAGCTTCTAGCTCTCTCATAAACTATGATAAATAAGGTCTAACCTAAAGCCAATTGACAATAGGTGGAGACTCATGTTAAATATAAAATTATAAGTTGCTCCAATAACAATCTTTTATTTTCCCACTTAACATGTCATTTCACTTCAAATGTCGGCTTTAGAAAATAAGGGGAAAACAGTGCCCAATCTAAGTTCAATGACAAAAAGTGTCCAATCTAAAACCAATTGGAAATAAGTGAAGAGACCCATATTGTATGTAAGTTCACAGGTTCCCAAAACACAACCAATGAAGGAATTTTTCATTTAACCTACATAATACTATTGTTGTCTGCATGGAGAAGGGGAATCCCAAGCCATCTCTATGGAAAGGGAAAGCTATGTCTTACTACTTGAGCTACAATCTCAAGTACATAACCTGCATAAAATTTATATTGCATCTCCCTGCAAATCCCCTCAAGATCTTGTCTACACAAGGTATCTCTTGGATTACAAAATTAGTACATCAAAGTCCTCCCAAAAGTATAATTTTGGATGCAAATATCATTTTGCCTCTCTTTTAGTTATTACAAGCTACAAATCTCTCAAGATTAAATGAAGAGAAAGAAAAATTCAAGAGATAGATGCAATTATGCTGGGAGCCAAAGGTCTAAATCATAGTTTACATTTTAGGTCTAAATCAAATCTATTTTAGAAGCCAAGTTTAGATGTGTGATTATGATTTTACCTTAAGGTATGGCCACTTTGTCTTCTAGGGCACCTTATTTTTAATCTCACCTCAACTACATATAAATTTGTTGTAACAACAAAGTTCTCCCAAAAATTATTAAATAAATACCCAATGAAATTTAAAAAAATCTTCAATAAATACTCAATAGGCTTTTTAAAAAAATAAATATTAAAGAGTAGTTCAAATCTAACATAAAGAGGTGGAACCCACAAATCAAGAAATTAATATAGAATAGGAAATTAATTGAATCTATAATTATAAAATAGGAGTGTGGGGCGCACCGATCAATAAGGGTAGATGTCATAGCTATCCATTGTTATTTGTTTTAACAATCTCAGCTCTTTCATTGCTTTTAGCAATTCTTTGCTTTTCTTTTGTTAGTTTATTGGGTTGCAATAGATCCTAATTCTCAAACCATCAACAAGTTGATCAAAGATGATCTTCTCCTAGGATCATATTGCAATTTCAACATATGTGGAATGCAGTATTAACATCAATACATGTATACTTTATGATTTTTTTATTAGTTCAATATTTTAATAAATAAATGAAATATTTAATAAAGAAATACCATGAAAATATCCTAATTAATATTCTAAATATTAAGTGATACTTGGTTTTACCATTCTAAAGGAATAATTTAATATATATTTTTAGTTAATTATTAATACAAAAAATTATAATTAGTAAACACCAAACCAAATCCAATCCAATGTAGACAAAGTTCACAAAGCACACCATGAGGTCCATTAGGAGAAAAGAACCAATGTTATATGGATGGAACATTAGATCTATTTATCATGAAAATAAAAAGTTTATCTGGTTGGAGGTAGTGGCCAACCCTTGGTTAAACTATAAAAATAAGACAAATAGATAAACTTTCTTGAGAAGTTAGGAATAGCTAAGGGTTAATCTCTAATTTACTTTTAGATTGAGAAAGAATCGAAGGAATAGCTATTCTTAAAAAAATTGAGGTAATAAATATTCCTTACTAATCTCTAAATTTAGTAGAAAATGGTGAACGTGCTTGGCTATTCTAACATTTTAAGAAAGTTTCTAAACTTTGCCATATTTTTTAAAGTTTGACCAAGGAATAGCCGCTACAAACATGACCAAAATGTAAAATACAAGAACCAACTTTCTCCATATCACAAACAGTCAACACGAAAATTGCTTAAATGGATTAAGAGAATTACTTACTTTCATCAGGATAATCAACATATTCCAAAGCATATGTAGTGTCCCAATTTCTTCGTCCGATTGACTTAATCTGATGGATGAGGTAGAAAGCATTAAAAACAAAATTCTTATCAACAAACAAATTTATTTCTTAACTTAAAATTAACAAGTAAATGACCCAAAAACATAAACAACACAATATTGTCCAAAGCATAAAGTTGCCTGAAGTGCCAGCCTTCCTGAACACCAAGTGGTGAAGTGGTGATTGATGAAGTGGTGAAGTGGAAAGCAAAGTGGGTACTTGACCAGACAGTAAAAAAAAGGAAAAAAGGGTATGTAATGAAACAATGATGTATATAGCTTAAAGATGTTTCAAAATGTATTCAGAAAATAAAACATAAACAGGACTTATTTTTGAAGTTCATAATAGTAGTTTGTTAACAAACTAACAGATAAGTACAGTCACATGAACAAATTAAAAGAGGACTAACATAGCAGTGCAAAAGACAGACTAACAAAGATCTCAAAACAGATTTCAGTTTATTCCCCCAGTGGTTGTCTTGTTACAAAAAGTGCATGTAAAATGGTTAGGTTTAGACAATGTCATCAATAGTGGAAAGGCCAAAATCAGTTTAGCTGGATCCTTCTTGTTGCTTGACTTAGACAAACTAGATTCCTTGATTTTAGCAAAGAGAAACAGGGGCAAAGTAGAAAAGGCAATGACAACAAGGCAACAAAAAAAATATAAAGAAAAACAGATGGAGGAGGAGAGAACATTACCCAGAGGAGAAAGAGATATCATAGCACAAGCTAAAAGGAAAGAGAGAATGAACTTAAAGAAATCACAGTAGGAAGAAGAAGATGTACACTATCTAATGTTTTGCTTTTGGTTTAGGGTTTTATTTAGGTTTAAAATATTTAATAGTACATCTGTGCCCTATAAAAATAAACACCCAATATAATTTAAGTGGGGACAATTTTGTCAAAGTCTAAAAATAACAAGCGCTTCAAGTGCTTCACCACTTAAGCAGTGCCTGCTTCAGCAATTTGTGTTGCACTGAGTCACTGACAATCAATGGCACTTTATCCACTAAGTTGTTGAAGCAGACGTTCTTAACAACATTGAAACAACCTTCACAATTTAGCAAAGATCTCTAGTCTTCAATAACTCAACAACAACATAACAGTCAACTCATTATATTATATAGCAACAAGCGGCAATTGGTAAGACAAACACATCGCTTTTCTTATAAGCCACAAATTTTATCAAAGGAAAGAAAACCAGCCCATGAAGTGTATTGAAGACATTTATTGATCGTGGATAGTGGCCAAAAGTAGAAAGGCTAAAATCCATCTTGAATTCATATTGGATAGTGTAGAGACTGACATTTAAAAAATAGTGGGCATTTGAAAAACAAAACAAAAATATAAATTTAATAAATAAATACCCTATCAGTTCATTTTTAATAGACCTAGTTTGACTTCTTAACTTTTTGGACATGAATTTCAAATGAAAATTTAACATATCATACAAATGATGATTGAAATTTTTTTTATCAAATTATAGTACTCGACAAAATTTTCATATAGGAAGAAAAAACTTTTCAATTATTGTTCATATAAGTTGTTAAATTTTCATTTGAAATTCATTTCCAAAAAGTCAAAAGTCAAACTAGGTCTACTAAAAATGAACAAAAGGAGTAACAAACAAACCTATTCAAGAAAAGGCATAAAATACCTAATAGCTTATAAAAAATTATAAAACTTTAAAAAATCACACAATATATCCTCAAGCAAAAAACATCACAACAATAAAACACTAAAATAGAGTTGAAGTTCCACTCGTAGAACAAGTGTGGCCGCTACAACAACTATTGTGTCCTTAATTCATTTTTTGCCATGCCATTCTACTATAGTGGTCATAGTGGCCGCTATTCACAACACTACTAAAGAAACATTTAAATTAACAATACAAAATATAGAAGAAACTAAAAGAATTCAAAAAGGTTGAAAGAAGAAACCAATCACAAGCAAACACAAATTTTACATGGTTCCACACCTCTCACCTATGTCTATGAAGAGACAATCAAATTCTTGATCATGTAAGAATCCAATGTTCTCATTGTCAAAAGTATAAAGCGACCTAAAGAATGAAATGCTTCAACCAGTTAAGCTCTACAGCAGGCACTTCATGTCCTAAAGTGCTGAGGTGCAATGGTACTTCACTTTTCCACTAAAGTAGTCAAAGCAGACATTTTTGACAACATTGTAGGAATCTAAGTAGAAGGAAACTATAATCTCTCTTCAATTAAACAAACCCAATATCACAACTCTCATACATCCTCTCAACTAGACCCCTGCTAAAATTTTCCTAAGACCTCTCAAAGTGTAGTTCTATAGGGACATCTACTACTCAAAGGATCTTAACTCTCAATTACAATAATAATTTTTAAATCTAATCACAAGTAAAAACAAATAAGAATTCTTTTTAACCAAGAACCGTTGTTCAATTAGAAACTTGACCCACAAAGTACAGTTCTTGTCAATACACATCCTTTTGTCTGATTTAGAAGAAAAAATATGCAACCACAAGTTATAGCAAAATGGTACAAACTCTCTCAGATAGTTTAACGAATAAAATGACAATATATTCAATAATCCTAAAACTCTTTCCTTCCCTAATTTGGAGAATTGATGGAAGTGGAGATTTGAATTTTGAAGGTAAGTCTACCCAATAAAAGAAGATTTCCCATCTTACCCTTTGTTCTTTTCCACCCAAACTACTAAATAAAAAATATAATAAAAACAGAAGATTATAAGCCTAGACTATAGCTGTACTTGTAAAATTAACATCCAAGAATATCATGGTTATGTTTCCTAAGTCTTCTAATTTTAACACTCATTCAATATTAGCACCATAAGAGAATGAAATTAATCTTCTTATCGCTCACATGACAAATACCTTGCATCGAAACCATGCACCACGATAACCAGCAATATAAGATCTCACTTCTACCAAATCGTTGACTTTAAATGGAAGGTCATGTTCATCCATTATGGAGTGACACACAAGTAGCTGAAACATAAATATTTCCTAGATTAGCAACAGTTTTAGAATAATGAGACAAAATAGAAGATTTTACTTCCTTCGTCCTAAATTAATCATTGTTTCCCACTTTAACCCTACTGTTATTTATTAACTTTAATGATTCATCAAATTTCTCTATTTATCATTATTTTTTTCTTTAAAAGATTAATATAGGTAAAACTGTAAATTATCCCTAAATTCTTAATCTATGGAAAAAGTCAAAAAACAATAGTTATTTTGAAACAAAGGAGTAAGCAATAAACAGAAAACAATTCCATCAAATCTTCATTTAATAGACTAAAAATCCTTTCCATTCCTTTCCCCTTATTTCCCTCAATCAAAATATGAGTAAAAAAAAAAAAGGAGTTTTACTCCCTCCTTCACGTTTTCCTCAAACTCCACTATCCAAGTTCCAAACACAAGCAAGTTTGGCAATTTTAATAGTATAAGGGTGTACTTGGATTTAAAACAATCTCAAACATTTCAAATAGACTTGGCAAACAGCCCAGTGTTACAAAGAGCACACCCAGACGCTAGGCAATACTTCAAAGAGAAAGACGTATGTATCATTTTTTTATTTTTGATTTTCTTATTTATTTTGGCATTTATTGAAGAAAAAGAGTTTATAAAAGAAAATGCTAGGTTTGAGGGGGAGGGGATCTCATTTAGTCTAATCAAACTAAGACATTGGGTCAACATTTTAATTAGACTGAACAAAATAAGCTACCCCCCTCCCCCAACATCTTAATTTGATAGACAAAATAAGCTCCTCTTCACTCCCCTCAAGCTCTAGGTGTATCTATGCACATCAGTGTTGTCAAGAGTGGTCTGCACCTCTGGCGCTTCAGTAATTAGTGAAGCGCCAGACTTCAGTGAAGCGGGAGTGAAGCGCCCGCTTCACTGCTTAAGCGCACAAAGCGCGAAGCGGTCAAAGCGCTAGGTTTTTTTTTTTGGTTTAATTTGACAAAATTATCCAATTTAACCTTAAAATTTAAGGGTAAAATGGTACTTTAACATTTTTTTCCCTAAATAAAACCCTAAAACACCTAAAATTGGATCTGAATCGTGATTCAGTCCCGACACTGCTGCTGCTTCTTCTTCTTCTTCTTCTTTTTCTTCCTTCAAGATCAAGCCTGTGACAAGAAAGATCCACATTTTCTTCTCTTCTTTTTTGCTTTCTTCAAGTTTGATTCTCTCATTCCTTCCAAGTTCCACCGTTCTTTCCTTTTTTCTTCTTTTATTGCTCTGTTTTTTCCCCTGCTTCTGCACTTGCTGTGTTTCCCTTTGCAAATGGAAACAACTTCATCTAGGTCCAGTAATAGGAAAGATCCTGGTTGGAAATATAATTCTTTGGAGGATCCTAGTAAATCCAATTATGTTACCTTGTAATAAAACAACTACTAAGGGAATCAATCGAGCAAAGCAACATCAGATGGGGTGTTTGGGTAATGCTACAGTTTATCCAAAAGTCCCACAAGAGGTTAAGGAAGAGCTGTGGAATTATTACAACGAGAAGAAGTCTCAAAAATCCACCGGCTCCTCACGTTCTTTTCAAATGTTTAATTATTTAGAACATTGTAAAATCGGTGATGATGATTTGGATGAGGTTGAGTTAGTTGCAGGTGGTAAACGGTTGTCGACTACAAAATCTGGGACTGGAATGCAAGGTAGTGGGAAGAAAACCAAAGGCTCGATGGATTTGTATTTGATGAAACCAGAAACTATAGTTCAAAGAGGAAAAGAAAGCAAAATGAGGCAAATGAGTATAAAGGATAGTGATCCAAAAGCAAGAGCTATGATAGTCCAGTATATAGCAAGATTTTTTTATCAAGCTGGGATCCCATTTAATGCAACATGTTTAGATAGCTTCAAATATATGGTAGAAGCTATTGGGAGGTATGGTCCAAATTAAAGCCCCCTAACTATCATGAGTTGCGAGTTTCATTGTTGAAAAAAGAATTGCAGCTTACAAATGATATGTTAAAGGATCACAAGAGGAAATGGGCAAAGTATGGTTGCTCAATTATGTTTGATGCTTGGACAGATAGAAGACAAAGAAGTATAATTAACTTCTTGGTGAACTGTCCAGCAGACACAATGTAGAATCTATTGATGCATCTTCTTACATGAAAACAGGGGATAGATTGTATGAGTTACTTGATACTTTTGTGGAGAGAATTGGGGAGCAAAATGTCATTCAAGTGATCACTGACAATGGCAGTAATTATGTCTTAGCAGGCAAATTGCTACAAGCTTAAAAAAGAATTTGTTTTGGAACTCCATGTGCAGCACATTGTGTGGATCTTTTTTTAGAGGATATTGGAAAGATGCCAAATGTAAAAAGAACATTAAAGAGAGCCATTTTTCTAGTTGGGTTTACATACAACCACACCACTGCCTTAAGTTTCATGAGAACTTTCACAAAAAAAAAAGAATTGGTTAGGTATGGAGTCACTAGGTTTGCTACAACCTATCTTACTTTGGAAAAGGTTCACAAGCAAAAGATTAACCTTCAGAAAATGTTCACATCAGATGAGTAGATGAAAAGCAAATTTTACAAAAAAACTAAGGGTAAGAGGGCTACTGATGTTATCTTGATGCCTTTTTTTTGGAATGAGATTGTGTATGCCCTTAAAGTTATGGGTCCTTTAGTGGGTGTTTTTCGCCTAATTGATAATGAAAAAAAAAGCCAGCAATGGGTTATATCTATGAAGCAATGGATAGGACCAAGGAAGCCATTCAAAAGGCTTTTGATGGGAATGAAGAAAAGTATAAGAATGTATTTTCTCTTATAGATAAGAGATGAGAAAATCAGCTTCATCATCCTTTGCATGCTGCTGGTCATTTTTTGAACCCTTTATTCTTTTATAATAATCTAAGCATTGCAACAAATAAAGAGATTGTGAGGGGGTTATATGATTGTATTGAAAAGTTAATTCCAAATCATGATGATCAAGACAAAATCATAGATCAATTGCACTTGTACAAAAAAGCTAAAGGGATGTTTGCTGATCCCATGACAGTACGGTCCAGGACCAAAGAGCACCTGGTAAGCAAAATTGTACTGATTTTTTTTTCTAATTTTGATTTGTTAGTTCTTGTTTTTTTGAAAGAAATTTATGTATTATTTGTGAATTAATCATTCTCATAATGATGATTTGCTTGCCTTGCTTATGTCTTTATGTCTTGAAGCTCAATGGTGGAGTTTGTATGAAATGGAAACTCTAGAGATTGTATGAAATGGAAACTCTAGAGTTGATGAGCTTAGCCATTCGAATTTTGAGTTTAACTTGTAGTGCTGCTGGTTGTAAGAGAAACTGGAGTATTTTTGAGCAAGTAAGTATTTTCTCTGCTTGTTAGTTTAGGGACTGTTTTTATTTAATTGTTTTGTATTTCTTTTTCAATTCTTGTAACTTATAAGTGAAGTTTTAGTTATCAATAAAGTTTTATTATAGTGGCCAAAATAATAATTATAATTAACAAGAAAGTTTTAAAACTTTTCACATATATTTTGTTTTTCTGCTTGTTGATTTAGGGACTGTTTTTATTTAATTGTTCTATCATTACAATATTTGACATGCAATTTCAATTCTATTAGGATATTCAATTTTTGACTCACAATGAAAAAGAAGTAAATTTTTAGACTATTGTATCCCTAGTGATAGAACATGCATATAATTAAGTTGATTTTGAAGAATAAAATAAAAGTGGTAAGGAAAGTAAAAAAAAAAATACAAATATAGAGTAGAGTAATTATAACTGAAAAGTCATTAGAGATCCAAAACAACAACCATGTTATCCTGAAGTAGTTAGACAGAAAATAAAGAGTAAAGTAATAGATATGTAGGGAACTAATAACCAATTTAGTGGCTGTGCCGCTGTGGATACACCAACTAAAAGATATTCTGATGCCACATAACCTACAGTGCTTGAAAGCTTAAGATCATTCTTCTTTTGCAGTGCGGTTAGCTCTTGATTTCTTAAGTTCATATAATAACTCATAATCTAATATTTGATTTTTGGTTTTTATAGAAGTCATTTAATGTTAATAAACTTAGCACTTGATGATTAAAATACAAAAAAATATTTTAATTTAACTTATTACCTATTGTCTTTATCGTATAATTTAATTCCATAATCTATTTTAATTGAACAGATTCATAGTAAGAAAAGAAACAGACTTGAACATAAGAAAATGAAAGATCTTGTATTTGTTAAGTATAATCAAGCTCTTAAAGCTCGATATAATAGCAATGATGAAATTGATCCAATTTCCCTTAACTATATTGATGATAGTAGTGAATGATTGGTTGGAAAAATGGGTGGTGACCAAGATGATGCTGAAAATGAACTTGTTTTTGGTGATGATGACTTGACTTGGGGGGAGGTAGCTAGAGCTTCTGGTGCTGAAAAGCCTAAAAAATATACTAGAAGAATTTGAGATAGACAATCAGCACTAAAACCTTCAAGTTCTAAAGAAAAAGCTGTTATACAAGAAATTGAAGAAGAAGAGGCTGATACAAAAGAATCAAAGGAAGAGATTAAGGATTATCACTCAAGTGATGGAGATGACAGCAGTGATGATGATGAGATGAATGTAGTTGATGAGGATGACATGGATGCAGATGATTTATCTTAGATTTTGGAATGATATTACGCTGTTTTTGACTTTCTGCACTATTTTAATTTCTTGATTATTATGCTTACATGTACTGCTAATTTTCTGTTTTGATAATTGATGTTATGAACTTTAAAATCTGTTTTATTAATATATCATGTTTTGAGTTCATTTTGAAAAAGTTTAAGCTATTACATAATCATCTTTTTGTATTGTCCGCTTCACCGCTTAAGCCTTTTGAAGGGCTGACACTTTAAAGCGCTTTACGCTTTTGACAACACTGATGCACATAGGTGGTCCAACACCTAGCACTGTCTAACACCTTATGCAATATTGCAACACCACAATTGGTTGGGGTCAAGTTGGGTGGATTACTCTAGATTGTGAATCATTTCACAAATCAAAGAAGGCAACCTATGACTTACCTATGCGAGTTATGGTCAAAATATTACAGGTCAAACGGGTTCACAAGTCAGAGTTAGCCAGTCAAGTGGGTAGATTAAGTTAAATTTTTACCATGCCTAATTTCAAATGAATGATGGTTTATCAAATTCCTCCTCTAACCCCCTGTTTGGTTTGAGGGAATGGAAGGAAGGGGAGATAATATCCTTCAATTTCACTCCCCTTACCCTTCGCCTTCCCTCCTTTGATTATACTAAAATTATAAAAAATAAAACAAAATAAAAATAAAAATAAAAGAAAGCTCCTCCCTTCCCCTCCCCTCCCTCTAATTTTTATTATACAAATAAGAAAATTTATCCCCCTCCTTCAAACCAAACAAGTTATAAATAAACTTCCTTTTACAAAAGCTTGTGATTTTGTGAAACTCCATATTTTCAAATCCTTATCTATTATTAAATATAATCTCTTTTTGGAGAAGGTTATTTACAAAAAGAATTTGAAATTCTTTCCATAATATAAAATCACCTTTTTTAAGAATCATTCATACAACCTAACCTAATGTCTCGATTAGGGGTTTGGGAAGGAATAAGAGGAGTGAAGGCATGGCCTCTTCTCCCCTTTAGTAAGCAAAAAGAGGGAAAGGAGATGAAATGACTGGATTGTGGAGCCTCTCCATAACCCCTCAATCCCTCTATTTGCATTGAAATCCCCAAGTTAGGGTATTAGAAGGGATTAGTGTTTCTTTTACTTTTAATTTTGTCCTAAACACCAACGATGCAAGTAACTCATTGATAATCCCCTACCATGCATGAATTTGAATCCCATTACATAACATTCAGGGTTAAGGGTAGGGATAAGAGAGGATTGCCCTGCAATCAAAAAAAATTTCTTGAAAATATACTTTCATGTTAGTAGATGAATATATTAGGTTTATAAATCCAAGGTTAACACTAATTCTTTCCTCTCTTATAAAAACCCTTCTACTTCCTTCTCTTTTTTGAGATTCCTCATAAAAATCTCCTAAAAATGCATCATCCAAACACAACCAAATTAAAGATTCTAATTTATTAAGATCTAAAAATTTAAAATTAACGAATTTAGGATTTGATTTCATACTATAAAAAAATAAAATAAAATTAAAAAACTACAAAATGAACAATGGGAAGAAGAAAAAAAACAATAATAAGAGACGGATTGAGGATGGGAGGATACGACATACCTGAAAGATGAGAGCTTTGAGAGCAAACCCCGAAAGCTTCCCCCGCAAAATGAAAGGAAAATAACAAAATGAGCCCTTATATAATAAAATTTTTATGCTGAGCTGGCACCCGCTTTCCACTCCTTAAACGACGCGTGTCCCTCTTATCTCTTCCACCCTCCTTTAACCCTCCGCCGGTTTCTCCACGATCCACCCTGTCTGTCCTGATCTCTAAATAAACGAGAAGTCCGGCGGCCAGCGAGCGCAAACCAACCACAATGGCTCTTTAGTTGCGGTTTCCGTGGAAATGTTGAATCGATATCACGATTTGATAAAAGATTTGGGTGCGACGTGGCCAATCTTAGCGATGCAAATGCAGGGAGATCCGATATACAAAGTAATTCGGCGATTGCGACCCACGCTGTATACATGGATTATATTATATTTATATAAAATTTTATTATTATTTCTTTTATACGCTTTATTATAAGTTATATAAAAAGATGCACTTGAGTCTTCGATGTAATTATTACGTCCGGTTAAATATAAATATTTATTTTTTCTAAGACAATGTTTCAAATCTAATTTTTTGTGAACTTATTTTTTTAAAAAAATTATATAAAAAGATAGTCCTATTTATTTTTAAATTCTTTCCATTTAACTTAACATTTGATTGCGAGATCTTTAAATTAAAATTTTAAGTTTTTAAATATTAAACCATTCATTAAACTATAAATTTTATGTATTATGTTTAGTATAAAATTAAGGGTTACGGGATGGAAGATGTTCGGAAATTAGTTTTGGGATTAAAAGTGTGCCAATTGTAATGGAGGGACCATTTTAGTGCAGAACTAAGAGCTAAAGGATGAAAATTGAATAGAAAATAGTTTAAAATTTTAAAATGTGCAAATTACCAAAGTATAAGAACCAAAATTAGCATTTAATCCCTAAGATTTAAATTTCAAGTGATACTGTAAATTGATTGTTGCCTAACTTCTCGATCAAGATATTACACTTTTATTTATTGTGGATTTGGGATATCATAATTTATAGTGGATTCAACTTTGAACCCATAGGAACACCCACTTTGTGGTTACCACTGCCTCCCTCACTTCACCACATCGCGAAACCCCTCTTATTGCAAACAAGATGTTTCAAACTTTTAATAATAAATATACACAATGGGTAAAAAAAATAGTCGCAATAGGGGACTGTGAAAACAAGATTGTAAAGGTGAATCTTGCATATATCTATCCAATTAGAACTTAATTTCATAACTCAATATTATTTGAATCTTATTTGAAAATTATTTAAAAATTAATTTTTCAAGTATTTAAGAGTTTAATTGTAAAAAAATTGAATTATAAAGTTTTAATATAAAAATAAGAATTTATCATAGTTTGAAACTAACAAATGAAGATTTTATTATGTAATCTAATATATAATAATAATATCTGAATTATTAATAATAACATTTATTAATTGTTAGATTAAAATTATTATTATTAATACTTATTAACTATTAAATCAAATAAAATTACTAATTGTTAATTTTAAGTCATTATACCAAACAATTCCAAAATTAATAAAAAAAAAAAACGATTTGGCCTCAAGTGAAAATTTCCTAATTTGACAGAATAATTACTTGGAATTGTGAATTACTTGCAGGACTAAATTGACGGCGTTGAAAATCCAGGGACCAAAGAGTCTGACGAGTGAAAGCTGGAAGACTGAAGTGCCAAAAAAAAAACTCTCTAACCGACGCCGGTTTTATTTCATACGCAGAAAAGTAAAAACCCACCCCCTTTTACCGCCACCGGCCACCCTGTTCTCAAGTACTACCTGATTTTTCCTCCGCAATTCCTTTGCAAAATCATCTCAAAATCTACTCACGAGTTCCTTGACTGACCGAAGAATTCGAGATTTGCTTAGGAAATTTCGAAGAAGATCTCGAAAAGGGAGGAATTCAGGAAGGAAAAGGAAATTGCAGCAAAAGAGAAGTCTACATTTCCCAGAATGACAAGAAATCAATGAAAAGGAGAGAATTTACGGAGATTTAAGGGATTTGGGAGATTGCTTTGTATTAATGGGATTTGGGGTATAATTAAGTCTTCTATTCTTGTGCAAAAACAAGAAGGGGACCGGGATAGAGCTTTTGGGTGCAAAACTTTCGATTCTCGAGTTTTCTGAGAGTGGAATTCCTACAAAGAGCTTTGTAGGATAAAAGCAATAAAAATTCAGACTTTTTATTTTTTTATCGCCCAGGGCAGGTACCCTTCACTTCTGCTATTCTGGATTTACAGTATGAAAATGGGTTGAATCGGACTCAAGTGGAGCGACTTTCAATTCGATTCAAATCCCTGATTCCATGAACTAAAGCATGTTTGGTTTCTGCTCGAATGTGCCGTCATGTTTAATCTCGTGCATTCTTTTGTTTTCCGGGTTGTTTTTTTCGGCTGGATATAAAAGAAATTAATCTGGCTGGATTGGGTTGTTTTTCTTTTGTGCCCAACACCCCCCAATCCGGATGACGACTCTATGTTCCGACACAAAGTGAGTGAAAATAATTGGATTTATTGAAGTTGCCTCTGTTGAAGATTTTTGGATTTGGTTTAAGGGACTGTTTCGTATAGCAGTTTGAAACTAGTTAATAGCTTAATCTAACTAGCTAATAGCCCAATTTTATGGTTGATAATTGTTATTATTAATAATTTAGACATTCTAATTCATTGGATTAAATGAAACTGCTAACTGTTATACCGAACAACCCCTAAGTTTTGTTTGTTTCTAAGATAACAGAGGATTTGCTAGTTATGAATGCAATGCTTTTTGTAAAGCAAGGTGAGGTTGAAAGCTAACTTTTATCTTTTTTCTTTCTAATCTAGCAAGGAGAGTTGAAATTAGTGGTCTGAAAGGAGTTTTATAGTGGGAAATGGATGAGTCTGAACTGGGAAAGTCTATGGAGAAAATTTCAATCAAATCTAGTTGCTTATCGGGAGAAGCACTGTCACTGGTGCAGCCTTCTGATTTTAATGGAAATACATCAACCTCATCCTCTTACTTGGATAGTGATTATGATGATGGAATGGCTTTAGGTCCCTGTCTTACGTCTTTATTTTGGTTTCTTGATTTGATAAAAACATACATTTTCTTCGAAGTCATGTATTTGACGCCTGAAATCTAATTCAAGCCAAGAAAATTATGGGAGTGGTTATATCATTATAACCAAGGAGTGTAAGATAAGAGGTTTGGCTTGTACCACTGCCTTCTTAGCATTCATAAAGTAGGATAGAGGCATTTGAATTTTCAATTAATATGACACTGGTGAATCTAAAAGTGATGTGCACCATTTGTACGGTTTGCCTAGAAAATAGTTCAATGTACATTTCCAATTTTTCTACTTATGTTGATTTTAAATTGTGTTTTCTTTAACCTAGTTCATGAACCCTTTAGATGCATACCACTTACTTCTTCATAAAAACATTTGTGTATGTAGAAATATATTTTCATTTGTATGCATAAATGGGGTGTAATCAATTGCAAGCATGTAGTAAGTATTTAGATACACGATCACCAAGATGGCATTTCAAATTTCAAATTTCCTCACTTTATTTTCTATTATACCAGAAGAGAGGTTTTTGTGAGCAATGTCATTCCCATGAACCATTGATTTCATTTTAATTTACTGTAGTGGCCTACAATGGGGGTTGGTCTCAGGCTCAGTTCCTCTTCCTAATGCTTTTCCTTGCCAAAATATGTTGCATTTCAGTCCCTAGCTTATATATAATGTAACAAATCTAATTTTACTTCTTTGTAGAACCAAATCCTTCTGAATTATATCAAATGTATAAATGGAAGATAGAGACATTTTCACAGATCAATGAAAGAGAGATTCAGAGCAATGCATTTGAGGTTGGTGGCTGCAAATGGTACGAGGCCTGGGTTACTGTTAGCTTGTTATATGCTCTGTTTACCTTTTATATGTTTCGCATTTATAGTACTGGATTCCTATTCTTAATCTGATTTTTAAATTATTTGCTGCATATATTTACCATATGTTAATTTTTCTGAATATCTGGTATGCTTGAGATATGCGTATATATATTCCAGGTATTGATAATGCATTCTAGTGCATGCATGGATCCTAAATTTCATAAAATCAGTCAATTTTGATGCCTCTTCTAGAAGATTGTTTGGGAGTTTAAGGAGTTCAAAGATTGTTTGAAGTTATTTAGATAATTATACTTGCCTGTCATCTGTTTTGGACTGATGTGAAACTGAAAAACCCAAGTCTGGTTTATGCATACAGATTTCATAATTGTTTGCTCCTTGGTCAAAAGAGATACATGTTTGACCTTGATTCATTTGTTGTCAGCTGTAACTTCTAATGTCACCACTAGTTCATCAACAGTGGTGAACATTACACCTTGTCAATATCCTTATTTCCTACGCATGTGTCTGTGTAACTTCAAAAGGTGATCAGATTGGTAAACAATGATTGCAAATTTCTTTTCCTTATAACTTTTGATATTTTCTGTTTTTCCAAAGTTTTGGCGAGATGAAAAGAAGAGAATTTTGAATTGTATCAGTTACTATTTTTGATAGTTACATTTTACATCCTCACTTAGACAAGTTAGCCTGTTTGACAAAGTAATGAAAATTGATATCACATTGTTCTTCCTGCTACATTGTTTTCTACATGATGAACTCACAATGAAACTGATGGCTTGCCTCAATCGTATCAGTTTTAATTCAAGCTCTTGTCCATTTGAAAGGTCGATTTTAATTTATCCCCAAGGTTGTGAAGTTGGCAATTATCTCTTGTTATTTCTTTGCATTGCTAATCATGACGAACTTCCTCCAGGTTTGATTTTGCAATGGCTTTGGTTATCATTTATTCTCTTTGTTTTCTGTAATTGCTATTGTATTAATTTCCTTCATTATGAGACAGGGTGGAGTCATTTTACACTGTTTACACTATCATTGATGAATAAAGATCCAAAGAAATCAAAATATGCAGGTCTGTTGGTTTAAAATTTAGTTTAGCCACTTCAATAGTTTTTTATATTTTGAGTGCCTTGGTGCATTTGCAGATACTTCACATCGGTTCATAAAGGAAGAGTATGACTGGGGATGGAAAAGGCATATGGAGTTATCAAAACTAATTGGTGGGTTATAGATTTGGACACTCTAATTATAAAAGCTCGAGTTCAAGTCATAAGGTAATCAGCCATTTACTCATCTAAAAACCATTTTTTTGGTAGTCTTTTTCAAGTATTTTACCTTTTAATGTTTCTTTTTACTATTTCTTTGGAGAGTAGTTTTACATATATTGTCATTGGATGACATTCTTCATGCTTGTTAATTATAATTTTTTTCCTATTTCTTTATGCTTATTAATCTGATTTCTGCAATCCTTTTTTCTGTCAAATTTAAGAAAGAGGCCAAGATTAATAACAGAAATTTTAATTTGATCCTTTTACTATTTTTAGCAATGAAGTTGACTCAGTAATGAGGCATATGACTTTAGTAACATTGTTTCTTTAGTGTACTTTTCGTTCATGATATTTAAGCCAATTTTTATTACTTATTTTCTTATATTTTTAACACGCATTTTCTTTGTTTTGTTTGTGGGGAGGGTGTTGTAGGGAGAGAGCAGACCGGCCTTTTCGTTGTCTTGGTTATGAGTATAGGAATGAGCTTGTTAGGGTGTATTTGACAAATGCAGAGACAGTTTATTGGCATTTTGTGGAAGAAAGACGAGTTAAGCTAGAGAGATTGTTAGCAGACAAGGCTTGGTGGTCCAGGTATATGGTTTATATTTTGAAACTACTACCATTATTACTTATGCTGAACACTTGTAATATAATTTTTAACTGTATAAGATAATATCTGGATGGATCCATCGAGAATAGTTTCTCCATGAAATGGTTTTATGGTCCTATTACCATGGTTTGGCATTCTGACTTTCTTTTTGCAGTAAGTTAACTTGCTACTGTTGTTTTCTTGTCTCCAGCTGTATTAATTACATTTCTGTAAATTATTTTACTCTTTTTCAGCTTTTGTCTCTAGGTGCCAATTCTATGGTAATTTCCTTGCTGATTTTTCTTCTTGTTTTCTACCCCAACAGACCATTTTTAATTGCTACAGCTTCTCTGCCTTCGGGTTGGGAATGGATCAAAATACCAGGCAGCATATGTCCAGGGAGAAAGCAAATGTGATTTTGAAAGATGTTGTAATCAAGTTTTTTACAGTGAGGGAAGTAACATCTACTTTGGTTTAAGTGCAAGGAAGGCAAGTCAAAATCATTGGATATGGAAGAAGTTCCAGGCCCTATTGTTCTTGTGCTGAAAGGTATGTTTGTTTTGGGGGATAATTTGCTACTTCTTCTGAAGAGGGCTGCCTCAGAACCATTACCTCCGAAAGAGCTGAAGGGTCCTCAGAACCGTATGAATGTAAGTTTACACCAAATATTTTTTATTGGTTGATTGAGTTAGAAGATCAATTCTTTTCCAATTGTTTAATGTTGTTGAACCAAAATGGATCAGTTTGAAATGTTTACTTTCTCATCCTGATAGGTTAGTTCTGCCTTGTTGTATAAGTAGAGAAATTGATATTTACAGAAAACCATGCTGTTCCCAAGTACATCCTCATTGGTACAAGAAAATTCAGGGTCCTGGGTTAGGGTTTTTGTCATAATGTGAAAATTAATAGAATATAGATGCCAGGGCTTCCAGTTGCTCCTTAACTCCTCAAAACTGTGATGCCACTCCCTCCTGTGGACCAACAAGAAGATACAATCACTGATGTATCTGCATCCTTAGTTAATATATCTGTATTACCACCTTATATTCCATAGACAAATGGATGTTTGTTTAGATGGGAGTACATTTCTTTTAGCTTTCTTTAGTCTCCTAAGTTAAACTTGCTTCCTCTAAGGACTTGAGCTGCTCAATACCTCGTCATAGAGACATTTTTCCTTGTTTTGATGTTGTTTTATACCTTCGGTTGTTCAAACTTGTTGTTCACTATATCCATAGCACTGCGACTTCTTTAGCAAAAACTGTGATTAGCTTTGAATTCAAACCTTGGCTTCAGTTCAATGGGTAAGAAGGTGTTTTAGTGTTTGTGCTCAGCAAGCATTTCATTTTCTGTAGGATGTGAATACTGGAGAGGACTTGATTGAGCTTGAAAGGCGTCTCACAGTACTGGGTTGCAAGGCATTACAAACGTTTGCCCTGGCCTATATTTTCTGGTATATTTTACATAGCTTTCCCACTATAAAAGGAATTATTTATTTCTGCACACTTCTACTTCTATCAAACTAATTTATGCTTGTATAGTTGTATACATGTAAATCAGGCATGTAAATGCATTGACCGTACGTGCTTAGCGGACTGAATTGTTTTACTAAGACATAGCATTCGTAGATGCTCTGACTCTTTTTCTACTTTACCTACAGCAACAAGATTATGGTTGCGTACCAGGAAGATGCTGCTTTGAAGAGGCAAGAAGAGCTCCTCGAGTCAATACACCTCCTTTATTTGGAGCAGAATCATTTCATAATTTAGATCAATCAGTCAACTAATATCTCTCTTGTTAAATTCTACTGTGTGCATAGTGCACTCTCGCAGATGCAGATTAACCAAGTTCATGATTTTTTGGGTTGTGGAGCAATTTGAACTGGATATTCCATTGTGTTTGTGTTTTTTCTTTTTTTCCTTTTTTGGGGGGGTTACATTTGGATTTGTTGTTTCAATTTTTTTTTTTTTTGTTAATTCCTATGGATTTATTTTCAATCTTATTAAAGTAACTTTGAACAAATGGCATTCTAAAACCACATTTTATGTTCATAAAATATGTTACTTTTACTACGAGAGAGATTACTTCAGCATGCATTAGCAGTCATGATTCAATTTGATTGCAAAGTTTAACGTCATGTTCAAGTTAAGAGCAGTCAAGAAGGTCACTATCACCAACAATCGCAGAGATAAGGAAACAGAAACTAAAAATAAAGACATGAGAAAAGAAAGCATGGCACACAAGATTTTACGTGGTTTGGTCGCCAATGTGACGATCTACATCCACGGACAGGGTCGGAAATATTCCACTATGCATCACAGTATAAATACAGGATCGGTCTCTATACATTAATCTGTCTCACACACCACCTATAACAACTCCCAAATGTCTGCTTCAATCTAGAGACGTAATTAACCACATGCAAATATCCTGTTTTTCCATCCAAGCTACCTAATTGTTTGTCATTCATTAATTGGCACACCTCTTCTCACAAACCGCCTATTCCAAGATTTTCACCTCCGGGGTTGCTGGGCTAGTTGAGGCTGTGTCACTGCATCTGACTTCTTCTCCATCGTTGCCTCTGCTTCAGCTGCAAAATCCATATCACATTCTTCCAATATTGGCTGTTGCTGTGCTAGATTCACCAACAAGGCCTCTGAATTTATCTCCAAAATACTTTCCAATTCTTCCGCATATTCTTCAAAGGTTTGTGCCGGTTGCTGTTGCTGTAACGGACTCATCACCACCAAGGTCTCCGAATTCATCTCCAACATATTTTCCAATTCCTTCGCAAATTCTCCATCGCATTCTTCCCAGGGCTTCTCTGCTGGCTGCTGTAAAGAACCACCCATCTCCACTAAGTCCTCCACCAGGGTTTCTTCCACTACTCGTTCATGTACACGTTCTGATGGCCATTCCAATCCCATACTACCAATCTCCCATGCTCCCATTTCTTGAATAACATTCTTGTTGAACATCAACGGGGCATATGATTCCAGCTGATGATGAACTTCTTGGACGGATACACCAGTCTTTTGTCTCTTCAATGGCCGCAGCTGTGGATCAGGTCCTCCGCAGAACTGCGACGACATCTGTGGTGGGGGATGAATAGTCGAAGTAGAAGCATCAGACGGTATGACCAAAGGCTGCTTGCCGTTGTACCGAATCCTACAAAGAACCCATCCTTTGACGTTCTTTTTATCCAGTACGTACTCATGCATAATCCAATCCGTCTTGGTTCCTTCTTGTTTCAGATTACCCCTCCCTGTCTGCTGTTTCCGCTTCTCTTCATCTTTGACAAAGAAAGTTAGAGACTTAACATAACCGACGGTGGTCCCGCTTCCTCCATCGTCCATAACTGGCGTATCTTCAGTGTTGGAGTGCCACCACCCTTCACCCGAATCAACCGTGCGTTTGGGCCTCATCCTGCTGTCCTTTCCAGAGATGGGCTTCCTCTGGACAAAGAAGAAGCGCTCAATGCCATGAAAGTATCTGTTGTTGGAACGATCCCAGGGAAGGTTCCATGGTGCTTGCTTGTAAACGTCATGGACAGAGATGAAGCGATGATGATAATGATAGTTTCCTTTGATAACCTTGATCCAGAGATGTACCATGAGTTCGGCATCCGTCGGAAAGAATCGGAAACCGGAAGGCAAATCTGAAAAACTGGAAATCGAGAATGCCATATCGATGGATGAAGAAAATCAAGAAAGCAATGAGATCAGGCGAAAAGGGTTGATTTGCGCTTTGGGTAAGTGGGGGGCGAAGGAGTGATGCATGAATGCGAAGTGGATATATTATATATACTGGGAGACATGGGCTAAAGCCGGATTTAGGATCTGAAAATTTAGAAATGTGGGCTAGAAGAGGCCTAGAGCTAGGTCTGGGCTCCGGATTTTGGGTCTCAGAATTGAGAAATGTAGGGTAAGGCCGAATTTAGGCTGGGATTCCTAAACCCTAATAAAAACAAAATTTATATTTATTTTCATATGAGTCTTGTTTTAGAATTGAGAGGTGGGTGTTTCAAGAATTTACGCTTATTCAATAATTATAGTTGTGTAGTTTAATATAATTTAAATTATATAATATTTTTAAATTTTGATATTTTGCTTCATATTAAACAAAAGAATTTTTTTAATAATATTAAATAATAAATTATACAATATAAGATAATCCTTCTATCCATTTAATCTATTCCCAAAATATTCAAAGTCAATATCTTCAA